CGCGTTGATAATCTCTTTTTATAGGAGAAATAGTTCTGCTCTTCGTACTTATCATGATTATCTCAAGAGATAATAATGCGATATATAAAATATTTATAAGGCAACATGCCTTATGTTAATTTTATATTTGTATATATATTCTGAAAAATATAAAACTATTATATATAATTTCAATAAAATAATATAAAAGATATAATACATATAGTCATTCGGTAATTGCTTATTCTGTTCTACCACAATCTAGAGAAATATGTTAGTAATAGATAGATTACATTAAACTTAAAAAATTTACGGAAAGTTTAAATTATTAAATTTGAAAGATATTAAAATTATGGATCAATTTTTTGCAGAATTGTAAGGCTCGTAAGTTGTTCTCGTAAAGATAGTAAGAATTTATGACTGAAGTTGTAATTCTATGCGTACCGTAAAACATACGATCATTCTAAATATCTACGATTTCTCGTAAATCTCATTGGCTAGCAAGAAGCTATCTGTAAGGGTATTGCATAAAGTTATAAGCATTTCAGTCATAAGTTCTTACAAGTTCTTATGAAACAAGTTATGAGTCTTACGATTCTGATGCTTAGAATTGATCCATTAGTATCACAGAATAAAAAATGATCACACTGTGAATTGCGTAAAAGAACAATAATTTAAAATTCTCGCATTAATATTATTTCGATTGCTATTTCAAAAGACTAAATCACGTGAAACATTTTTTAGATAGATAGCCGTCATCCCGATACATCATTATTATATCACGGGAATTAATTAATGTTTTCTTATCACTTATCGTGATCAATTTTCAAAGAATAAGACGAAATATGAAACAGTACGTTCTACAACCTCCTCATTCGACAGTTGGTGTCCGAATAGTGCGTCGTGCGATGCCGGTGACTTTATTTACGCAGCGTGCAATCACGTTATAAAAACAAAGACCAAAGCCACGCGCCAATGGAATTTTTGCCGTTAACAAATAATGTTTAAAATATTCAGCAGGTAGAATATTCACGTAGATATTTTGCGTTTTACATCTTAAATTAACATATGTTATATATCTATTATCGCTCAATATGCATTTAATATTTATTCGAGAAACAAGAGTTATTTTTGCGGTCGAAAAAGTATTCACTGTAAAATAATATTTATTATAACTTTTCTAAAATTTTTGTCATCTTGCATAATTTTAAGAAATTGTTTTCATGATTTTAACCCTTAATACATGTCTAGTTTTCGACACCCTTATTACACACGTTGGGTCTTTCGAGTTCTGGATTAATTTTCGTTACTTTTATAAAATATATAAAAACTATTAAGATTTTACATGTAGTTTGATATCTTTAGAAAATATTTGTAAAGTCGTATCTTTATAACAAATTGTATGTAAATTGTTATAACTAAATATAATTAACAAAATTGAGAAAAATACACTTTTTCCTACAAAAATGTTTAAAGGAAAAATATGTTTCAATATTTTGACATTCCAAAGTTGACATTCCAAACTACAAAAGAAAAAATAGCTCAAGTGTTGGCTGTCCAAAAAATTTAGTTATTTAACCTAAAAATGATGTTTTTTATATGCATAAATGGCTATAAATTGAGGATATATTGCATTTACATTTTAAGCAATGCATTTAATTATTGCTATCGTGTTAAAAAAACTTATAATTTATTAGGAAAATGTTTTTATAATATTAAAAACAACGTATAATATTACCAACAACATTTAACGTAAAGAGGTGCCAAAAACTAATGTGTTTTTTAAGGGCTAATATGTTGTTCTAGGGTTAAATTCTTTTTTTAATAATTCGTAAAATATTCCCGCAATACAAATGAGAATTAATTGAAAATAAAGAAAAAAATAAAAATTTTTTTTAGTTACAAAAAATGTACATTTTGTACACAAGCTGAATCATTTGTGACCCAGAGGTAAACTTCGAAAGGATATGCACGAATTGAGGCCGGCAACGCCCAAAACTTGTTCTCTAGATGCCAAACAGTTTTTAGGAATAGAAAAGAGACCGATATTTGACCAGATGTTTTTAGTCAAAGAAGTATTAAGAGTTAA